CCAGTTTGCTTTATAGATCTTGCACATACATGCAGCAATCATTTAACCTATGACTGGCATGTAACCTTTTTTGGAGCTAAAGTTAGGCTTGTCTTCAGGACACTGGTTAGAAATCATGCAGTTCCCTGTATCTGGTTGTTGCAGGGGTTTTGTGGTTTTCTTTCAGCCTCCCATCCTCTGCCTCTGTCTACAGTAGAGTTTCTGCTGCTATATGTGGATTAACAATTTATGTTTTGCTTTACTCTTCCAAAAGACATTGCTGATCAAACGTCTTAAATATTAAATCAGGTTTTGGCACTTATCATGTAAACAGACTAGAGAGTAAACCTAAGAAGGCTACAGCCTACATTTCAGAGGGATGGTGTTGATGGGGAATACCTGTGTTGAGTGAGGGCAGGGAATGTTGTCAGGAGATGGCCATACACTCTACTGAAGACTGTAATCCTTGCTTTACCTCTAATTTCTCCTCTTTACATCAAGTGCCAATCAGGGAATTATTTTTAGATGCAGTTCTTTGCTGTGGTAGCTCTGCTAAGAAGGGACTCGCTGAGCTGCGTAGATGCCTGTATAAATGGAAAGGAGCTTCTGAACCGTTTCTCTGAGCAGTAACTATCTGCAGAACACATACAAGTACAGGGTTGGTTTGTGGGCTTTGGGTCGTACCATATATCCATACATGAAACTTTGTGCTTTGCTTGTCCATTAAGGGAAGAAGTTCAGCCTCATGATATAAGTGCAAACCCATACAAAAAGCTTGTCACCGTGATCTGACACGCAGCGTAACTTTGATCTCTGACACAGCAGTTCCTTGGTGTGCTAGCAGTACAAGCCATTGGACATGCATTCATTTCACTCCGCTGAATTATAAATGAAAAGATGTACCTTCTAAATCATAAATCACATCATGGACGTTTTTCAAGAGAGACCGTATGCTCGGTGAAGGTGCAGATTAGTAGTGCAACTAATGGATCATGGCTTGTCCTAAGTAATGCGCTAAATTTTGATCCATGAAACAAGCACTGCCTTAGGGAAATGCGGTTGTTGGGATGACGCTGGTGTGTGAAAGAGGGAAATTGGCTTTAGAAAAGCCTCCTGTGGGAGATGGGCTGGGTCCAGTTCAGGTTGATAGTAAGGCTTATTCTTCTTCAACTGGCATTGGACACAACCAGTCCTTCTCTGTAAAGCAGAGCCAATGCATGAGTGTAGTTTAAAGAATATGCATGCTAATTCAGTAAGTTCATGTGGTTTTGTTTTTTTATGAACCAGGGTCTTAATTCTACTGGGACTTGCTGTCCGGCAGTACGAGATGCTATGTCAAAGACTGATTATACTTAAGCTTGTCTGGTGCTCCATTAATAAGCTGATTTTATTCTCGTCTTCTGCTGGCTAATAAATATGCCTTTTGTAAGTAAGTTAATTTTCTTGTAATTGGGATCGATGTTTTCCGAGGTTGTGTTGTTTTTTCATAGCACATTGAATCAGGCACAGGAGACCAGCAGAGCTTCCGCGGTACCCTGACAGCACTGTCGGCAAATGAGCCCTTTGTCCTTCCAGCCTTTTTTGGCGCTGTTCTCGCGTGGTGGGGGACACAAACAGCAGCTTGTTATCATGGCATCATCCCTGATTCCAGGCTCCCACATATGGGTACGTGTGCCCATACTCTCAGGCACACAAAATAAAGTGACTGTTTGGTTTTACGGGTAAAAAAGTGAAGGGGTTACTAGAGTCAGATCTCAAATGGATTTATCTCCTGAGTTGTGATACTGGGTTAGCTACACAGCTCCACTCAGCAAATGCAGGGCTTAGCCTTGGATGAGTTGCCTCAGAAAGCTTACTGGCTGTTAGAAAATGGAGCTTCTCTAAACACAGCCATAATGAGAGACTCGTCCGTCCTTTGCATCATCGTTTTTGGCCATTTGAAAGTGCAGTCATCTGTGTAGGAGATGAAACGTCTCTTTGATGGCCTGTTTGCCACTCAGTGGTCTCAGGAGCTTCATAAACATTCAGCAATTGAGCCTTTCTGTCTTCCAGCTGGCACTTCAGCCCTCTTTTGCAGGAAGAAAAGCTAAGCCACTGAGACTTTAAAAATGGTGCTGACTTGTAGCCTAGACAATTTAGAGATTAAAAATAAAAAGCAAATTCAGGTACTATACTCCTTGTGCAGATGCTGTTTTAATTTTAGTGGTTTGAACGACTGTAATTATGTATTTTAAAATAGCCTTTTCCCATCTCTTCTGGCTCCGAAGAAAACAGATGCAAAATAAGCGAGGCAAGGGTGGGCACGGGGGAGGCGTACGTGCAGCCTTCCTGGGCTTTCTGTTTTAGCTTAACTTTTAATACAACTTAAGCTCTTGGGGCTTGATCTGGGAAATGGCTTTGGGATCAGAGGCCAGCCTGGTGCATCCGCTCCCCGTCCTGCTGCGGTCAGGTGTAGGTGTCTGGGCTGAGAGAGCCAAAGTGTGGAGGCAGAGACAAAGGCTGTTCACATCCTTCTTTTTGGGGGCCTTAATTGTCTCGAGAAGGGCTGTTAGATTTGTGGGCTCTGTTTCCTGTCTGCTCCTCTGGCCCGGCAAAGTCCTTGCTGTGCAGCATCAGCAAAAGGGACAAGTGCCCATCAACATGGATGAGGTTCTCCAAGCAGAAGTGTGTTGAGGAGCAAAAGAAGTGCCATGACCACTGATTTAATAGAAGGCAGCGGCTGTCACCCCATTTTGTAAGGAGCCTGATCCTGTCTGTGCATTTAACATGCGTCTTGAAAGCTCCTGTTGGGTTGATCCACTTGGGGAGCATGGAGGAGGGCTTAATTTCTTGGTCCCAGTAGGACTGAAGGTAATGCTGACTTGCTAAGTCTTGTTAGCAGTGAGTAGGAGCAGTTGTTGGGGTCCTGGCAAGCTGTAAGGAAGAACAGAGGTTGGAGGTGGGTTGCTTTCAGATTCAATGATGGCAAAGTGGATGTTTTCTCTTTTGGCGTGAGCAACTTACTCTGCTTGAGTCTCAAACTGGGTGCCTGAGTGTATTCACGGACCTTGCTGATCATGTGAGATCCTCTGGCTACCTTAAATAAATCCTGCCTTCTTGTCATCAGAAGAACGTGTAACTGTTTTCACTTGCAAAACAACTGATTATCTATCCATAGGGCATCCTTCTCTGGCTCCAATTAGAGGCTGAAGCCTGTGTGACTTGACATACTCTGTGAGTGAAGGCTTGTTAATTGAGCGTGTAAATGTGTAATTGTCTGTACAGTTATCCAAATGAGGTTTTTTTAAGCTTTGCATACAAATATGGGAGCACAGTCATGCAGTTGGGTAAATCTTCCAAAACCAGGTGCCTAATTAAATACGTGTATTGAGCATCCAGATGCCAACACCCTTAAAAAGATCGAGCCGGTTGTGGTTACCTCCTCTTTTCTTGTTGTATGTGGGTACACTAATCTGAATGTTTTCATCTGAGCCTGTCACATACCATAATTTCTGTCCTTTTTCCTACTAAATATGTTTCACTGGTGTGGGAAATGGCAGTTACTATAGAAATTGTTCAGATGTTGCTGTTAATGTATGTGCTGGCTTTTAGTGAAGTGGTACCTTGTGCTTACAGTGGTTCGTGCTATAATACCTTTAAAATGGTTCTATTCCATACGAAATATTAATTTGAAACGGGGCAGGGGGAGGTTTGAGGAAAGCCTACTTAACTAATGAGAGTTGTTGGCAGTTGTAATCCAGTGCAACTTCTGAGAAGCAAAAAATGACATTAAATGTGCAAATAATGGTACCCTTGAAGTTTTCTCTGCACTCGGTGGTTTCTCTGTTTGGAAGCTGCTGATTTGCAAAGAATGAGTGATCTGGCAGTTCTGACCTTGCAATTATTGTCTGTTGCAGTGAACAAAACCCCAAATGGCTCATTTTTGAAGTCTGCAGTGTTCATTTGCTGTGAAAGAAAACACAGTAAATACTGCTTTTTTTTTTTATATATAACGTGTCCTTTTATACAGAATTAAGCACTACATTCAGTCTTTTAGAGGTGGCTTTAAAAGAAGTTGTCATGGTTTGAACCTGGCCGGCAGCCAAACACCACGCAGCTGCTCGCCCACCTTCCCCTGCCTGGGAGTGGGAGGGAATTGGAGGGGTCAAGGGAGATAAAAACAGTTTAATAATGGTAATGAAATAAAATAATAACAATAATAGAAAGTATAAACGGGTAATGTACATGCAATTGCTCAGTACCCGCTGACCAATACCCAGCCCGTTCCCGGCCAGCGACCCCGAGATACCAAGACCGATCACAATTCCAGAAGTGAGAGAGAACCCCCCTTCTTCCTGGCCACCCCTCCTTTATATAGTGAACATGACATTTCATGCTATGCAATATTTCATTGGCCAGTTTGGGTCCGGTGCTCTGGCCGTGCTCCCTCCCTGCTCCCTGTGCCCTCGCGCACGGGCAGGGCAGGGGGAGTTGGAGAGTCTTTGATCTCTTGGCAACAACTGAAAACATCAGTGTCTTGTCAGCATTCTTTTCATACCAAATCCCGTATCGAATCCAAAGCACAGCACTGTTCTAGCTGCTAAGAAGGAACATTAACTCTATTCCAGCCCAAACCAGGACAGAAGTATATAGGAAGGTGGTTTCAATAAGGTGCAAAAAGTTCCTGAATAGTGATGGAGCTGTGCCATGGGTGGGTACATGTAGTTGACAACTTTATCCAGCTAGGGGTCGTCTGTTCTTATTCATAGACCCACAGAATGGTTTGGGTTGGAAAGGTCCTTTAAAGCCCCCCCAGTGCCCCCCCCTGCCCCGGGCAGGGCCCCCTTCCCCCAGCCCAGGGGGCTCCCAGCCCCGTCCAACCTGGCCTTGAACCCTTCTGGGAGGCTTTGCCTCCTGGGCTTATGGCAATGTTGTAAATAGTGCCTTGAGCAGGGCTGCAAACAGCGTCAGGATTGGGAATGATGTTTTAATCGGAGTGACAAGCACTCCCTTAATGCCCTTTTCTCTTTATTTCTCTGCAGATGTCGCTCCTATGAGGATTGCTGTGGTTCAAGATGCTGTGTTAGAGCTCTCTCTATCCAGCGACTATGGTATTTTTGGTAGGTCAGGGCATGTGGGAATTTTATGTTTGTCCTGTTCTTGTCCTGTCTGTAGGGCTTAAATCAGGGTATTGCCAGCCCTAGTATTTTGAAGTAAAGTAAGTACAACTATACAGGAATGTATATGTATGCATATAAATGCAAGGATGTTGATTTTTTGCTTATAAAATTATCCTAATGTAGTGAGAAAACACTGAAAAAGAAGGTAACTTGTGTAAGGTTGACCTTTCCTGCTTCTGCATCCTGCTGGTCTGTACAGGTGGTGGTCTCACTCTTACCCAAAATTCTTGAATTCCTTATACTGGTTTCAGCTATTACTGGGCAGCAGCATTTCTCTGGTTTTGTTGGGCACTCAGTTTTAAAAGAGAACTGTGTAAGGAGGATTGTGCATTTAGGCAGGGTTTAGGATATTCTTGCCAGCTGAACTGAGGCTTCAATTAAAAAGGAAGAGAAGTACATCTATGACTATGAGGATTTCGCTGGAGATGACAGCAAGGGAAAAGAAGGCAGAAAGATTTGAGCTTGTGAAACCAGCGACTCAGTAATCTGGATAAAGCTTAAACTAATCACTGCTATATGCATAATGAAAAAATAAGGTAAATTCGGTATGGAGAGGAATTTAAGAAAGCACCTGAGTTAAACCTTCTCATTACAGTAGAGAGAAGGCAAAAGTTCTCCTAGAAAGCCTGATTTCAGGCATTTTTATGGAGAATTTGAAGACTGCTTAAAAAAAGAAAAAAAAAAAAGCCTTCAAAATTGGAACGAATAAACACTGAAAATCAGAAGCCTGATATCTACTATAATACAGAGATTTTCTGAAGCTGACTGTGGGATTTCAGTGTACAATCCTTACTGCTATAACCGAAGAGCTCTGCATCTCAATCCCTGGGGTGACGTCATAAATCTCTGCTTTTCTGTTCAGAACAAATCCTTTGCAGGAACACTGCCAAAAGGGAATGTATTAATATTGGCTCGGGGAAACAGGACCTCCTTCTGCTCTCATTTCCACCGGAGAAACGGGAACAGAATTTGACCCTTTGCATGAAGTACCGTGCAGTGTCACACTCTTCCTCTCGGGCACCTGGGAATGGTCCAGAGGAGAGAAACATGGTGTGTAGGTTTGCCTCTGGCCAACTTCGGTGGCCTCTGGCCAACGTCCTTCCCTTCCAAAAGAGCCCAGTTGTCATTGTCTTCCAGTAAAGGGCCCTAAAACGAGGTGGCAATTACAGGCAGAAGAACCATTTGGGTTTACGGGAGCTTGCATCAGTCATTAGCATGTCTGATAACTAATCCAGGAATCACAGTGAAAGCCACTGTCTGAAGAACAAAATCTTCTGGCATGCCTTTGCTGCATGTGCTGGTTTCCACACCACCAGGGCAAGGGAATGATGAGGACAGTTTAGTCAGGTCAGAAAAGGAGCGGAGAGGAGAAGAACTGAAGCAAAATCACATCCTTCTCCTTGAGAATGGGTATCCCGTCTAGGAAGCACAGAGGAAAGCTTCTCATCGACGGTGCTGAATGCTTAAGTCTTCTGGCTTGAGTCTAAATGCCAGCTAGAAAATTAGTGTTGAGTAATTGAAGAACATCTAAGAACCTTCTCTTAAGGGCAACTGCAGGATAGTATTGCTCATTGCGCCCCCCAACCCTCCTGGGCAGCCTCGATGCTCTGAGTGAGGGGCTTATGTCTGAGATGCGCAGTTTGAAACTGTACCGACTGGGAATTTCAGTTCAGCATCCCCGGGGCAAAGGTTGGGTGTGAACCTGAACTTTCCAAAAGCTCAAGGCTGTTTTAGTTTCAGATTGGTATTTTACGTGCCAGAACACACCGGACACTAGTGCTGATCGCTGAAGATGTCCATAATAGATCCGTACGTGCCCCGCGAGTGCTGTCTCAAATGACACAGACCTGCTCTCCAGACACAACCCGTTTAAGAAACCCTGATAAAAGTCGTAGGCTGATGATTGCTAGATGATACTCTTGTTGCAGTCAGTGAACAGTGGGGGTTTGAGAGCTGCCTGAACGTTGAGTGGGTGTTGACTTCCCTCTTCTCTTTGCCTAGGTTCCTTTTGATGATGGGAGTTTTGTTCTGTTGCGGAGCTGGTTTCTTTATCCGAAGGCGGATGTACCCTCCTCCACTAGTAGAAGAACCTACTTTTAACGTGTCTTACACCAGACAACCAGTCAACACTGCATCAGGTCAGAGACTGCTTATTAAACAAGTTTCACTGATTGCTTACATTTGCCAAGGTGTTTTAAAAGGGTGAATTTAGGGGTTTTGGTTGGTTGGGTTTTGGAAACTGTGGGATTTGGACCAAGAGATTGTGCTGCACTAAACCATGCAGCCATCTCTTGTGATGAGCGAAGCCTTCTGCCTTTCACACAGCAGAATTCAGCTGCAGTGTACAGAAGCGTTTTTGAAACCCAGGACCACAGGACTTGCAGGTCCCTTCTCTCGTGGTTCCTCGTGCCTTTACAGCTGTGTGTCCATGCATGGCAGGAGGCCAGCAAGTTCTCGCTCGGCAGCGTAGACAAAATGATAGCTATCCAAAATAACCAGTGGCGTGAAGAAAGAGTTTTAAATACAGTTCATAACATCTGGCAGAGGTGAAGGAAAGCCGAACATTTTTCTTCCACGATCTGACCATCTCGCAAATCTCTCTTTTTATTTGCCTCCCATGCTCTGTGCTACAGCTTTTCTGCAAAGTGGTCCTTCCCCTCTTTTTAGTCTGATTGCCGTCTCCCTGCTCGGTAATGGCTGTGAGCATCAGGAGGATTTACCTAGTGATGGCTCCTCTGGCAATTCTGCTTTCTAGATTTGTTCTTTCTTCCCCTCTGACTGTTAGTCCCAGTTTGGAGAATCCTGCAAAATAAGACTCACCTGTAAGCAGAAGACGTTTGTGCCTTACGGGAGCACTTTGAATGCAGCTGTCTCTAGCGGGGAGGCCTTTGACAGTGCTGAGATTTTATCTGGTGCTTGCTTTCTCCCTGCTTCAGCAAGGCCAACCCCCAAACCGGGCCGTTTTTAACCGCTCTCCAGATTGTGTAAGCCAGTGCTAATTCTTGCCAGCGAAACTACACGCACACATATGCAGGCACGCTTCGTACACTGACACTTTTCCTCCCGGGCTGTCATTTTATTGCATGTTATATTAGAGAGAGCTGAAGCCAGCAGAAAACTATCTTTTCTGACAGCTTTTTTTTTTGAATTGCCAATTTGTTTTTGTTTCATACCGGCTTAGAAGTGGAAATACAGCTGAATATTTTGTAACAAGAAGGGTGATCTCTCTGAAAATTCGGTGCGTCAAACCTCTCTATCAGAAATCATCTTCTGAACCATGCCATCTCTGTGCAATACCGTGGCTGCATCAAGGCAGCCTCCTTAGAAAAGCGTCCTAAAGCCCTTCTAGCTAGCTGTGGCTGCGAGCGTGGGGGCTCTCCCCGCTGCCATGCCAGCTGCAGCACAGCCCTGTGCCTCGGGCAGACGCTGGAAAGGCTCTTTCTTGCATCCTTAAGCACAGACATGCGTTTCCCCCCCTCTCTCTCACAGGTCTAAACAGATAAAAAGATGTTACAGACACAAACTGACACTTTATTCCCCTTCTTTTTGTTTAAATCCTACAAGGTTTTTCTAGGGCTTCCATTCTGCATCTGGTTTTCTGCTTGACTGAACAACCATCTCCACAGAGAGTACTTATTTTTCAACAGTGGAGGGTTGGGGAGCGGGGAGCCAAACAAACTAAACTAATATTTTTAAGCCTGAAAAATAGCCTCAAGATGATGTGAACAGGGGAGCGTCTTTGGCTGGATTGACAAATACCAGATTTAATTTTAGAGCACAGTTTTATTTTTTCACGACACTTCATGGAACACAAATTGTGAGTAAATATAAAATAAGCACAAGCCCTTGAATGACCTTATGCTATCAGCTTCCAGACTGTTATTGCTGTTGCTTAAAAGCTTTGGGCTTTGAGCTAACCCCACCAATTTTTAATTTTTTTTTTTTTCCAACTTTTTCTACTAATGTAGGAATATTCAGCAGCAAAAGCAATGGGAATTCGTGGTGGACCAAGCTCTCATTTGCTGCTAGCTCCTCTTCCAGATTTGGCAGCAGCAGCCCAGTTCACTGGGGAGGTGAAACGTGGCTCCTTGCCCAGCTCCCTCCTTAGGCAACGGCAGCATCTTCTGCCATCCCAGCAGCAGCCTGGGAGTGCTTTTTCTGTGGGCCTGGCTGGGAAAATGGATTGCACACCTCACTTAGAAGCAGGAGTTTGCAGACCTGGTGGTATCTTTCCCTTCAGCCCTGGCTACATAGCCCCAGACCGGCAGTTCGGGTGCTTGGAAAAGGTTGGGTCCCTTTGTAGACACTTAATAAATACTTACTGAGCTGATCCCACAAGGTTAATAATTCAGACGTTGTTTTCTGATGGGTTTAATGAACTGAGAAAATGTCTCAGAAGATTAGTGTCCACACTTACACCCCCACTCCCAATTAAAAAATAATACATGGATGTTTTAATGAAAACAGTTACTTTCCTAAAGAGCAAGCTGCAGGGAGCTCCTTCAACCTCTCCCATTTCCCCATGCAGATGTAAACTGCAGGAATGCAGGGCTGGGCAGGATTTAACTTTAAAACAAAAAAAATGCTTCAGCAAAAGGCTACAGGAGGGGGCACCAGCCCAGGCTTTGGGTGCTGCCGGTGGAAGCAGAACAGGGGCTTCACGTCGCCGCGGCAAAGGGAGAGAGGCTGTGGAGCAGCTCTCCTTGCTCAGACAGGCAAAGGGAAAAATTCTTGCAGTGGTGTGTTTAAAAAATACTGTGTTAAGAAGGAAGCAGCTGCGTTCCCAATCTGCTCGCCGTCCTCTTTGCTCCAGAGTGTCCAAACAGATATCCCAGGCTCTGGGACAGTTGGCAGCCCTGTGCCTTGTGGCTCGACCTGTCTGATTTAATATTGTAAGGACACGTTTGGGGGTTTGCTATGCAGCTCCTTCCTGAATGCTTGAAGTACTAAGGGGTGCGTAAAGCTTCAAGAGCCTATATTGTGGCAATACTGAGTCTTCATGTCACTAAGTCACAGAAAGGAATGATTGAGGGGAAAAATCCATTAGAGACCTTATCATTATAGGAAAAACAGTCTAGCACCAAAAGAAAAAAACCCGTTGCTCAGCTGTGAATTTTTTGTCAGTCCAGCTTTATTTAAATAGACAGAGGGAAAGAGAAGAAAACTAGTTTACATCTTGGGATAGAGGCAATCTGCAACTTTAATTGCTGCAGTGGTCGTCCACCACCCCCTGTGATACCCGAGGAGGGTTACATGCCACCTTTGGTATTCCTCGTGGCAGCAGTCTCTGGCACTCCTCATGTGCCATGCCTAAGGAGCTTTGCGTTTGATCATAGGCTCCCTTGCCTTGTCCCTGCAGGCTCCAACATCATTTCCCAAACGTAATCCGTGCGAAGCAATCTTCTCCCATCGTGTTAGCCAGCCAGAATTGGCTTCAGCTGGGGTTTTTGATTCATCCGTGTTTCCTCCTTAGCCGCACTGTGCCTGGAAGGGAAATCATCTATTTGAGATGCACTCTGGTTTACGGGCAGATCTAGTACACCACAAAATAATCTGCGAACTCCTTTCAGAGGGCTGGACACCTGAGTCCGCCCGGGATGCCCTGCCCCTCCTCTCTGCAGGCACTGCAGTTCTGGCTGGGGAGCTGAGCAGGGCTCGCTGTTTTCCCTCTCAGCTGGCAGCCGCCTGGGGCCCTGGTGCCCTTTGTTTCACCAAATGATTTCCATCGCACGCAAGGTTGAAACTTTTTTGGTGAAACCTCAAGAAGCGAATGTAGTCCCGCCAGCCTGGGTTTGCTCTGGAACGGGAGAAAGGTGGCTCCTTGTCTTTACTCTGATGAAGGCTTTGGGAAATCTTTTCCAAGTGTGCAGAGCGCAGGCCCTGGCAGAGCACAACCTGATGCCGCTGCCACTGTTGATACTTTTTTCTCTCCTTTTCTTTCTTGCAGGGTCACAACAGCCTGGAGTGCCGTATTACACAGATCCAGGTGGACCTGTGATGAATCCCATGGCTATGGCTTTCCACGTCCAGCCCAATTCCCCCCAAGGAAACCCGGTTTATCCACCCCCACCTTCCTACTGCAACACCCCACCTCCCCCTTACGAGCAGGTGGTGAAATCCTCCACGTGAGGACTCTCTGGCTCTCTGACCTGACTGTACGAGCAGAAGGTGCCACTGCAAAATGGCCGAGGTGGAGGGCATCCACCCTTTGGAACACTTGCTAGTTCTCCAAGTCCTCTCTCCCTCCCTTCCCTGCACCCTTCCTCATTAAAGTTACTTGCAAAGGGGTAATTTTAAATTTTTTTTCTTTTTTTTTTTTTTAGTAGAAGTGGATTTTTTTCTTTGTCTTCAAAATGAGAGAAGTTGTCTTTGTAATGCTTTTAATGGAAACCTATATTTAAAACCCGTATGTCTTTCTCTTTATTTATTGTTCGTTTCAGTCGTCGGTTTAATTGCGCTGTGTCAGGCTGCTGACAGCAGTTTTTTATGCAACCCCAGAGCGATGTGCACCCTCCTAAGACCCCATAGCAGAAAAGCCAGCATCTAAAGGAAGGGACGGAGAAAGAGGGTGGAAGAGGCAGGGCAATGCTTTTTCCAGAAATGGTGACCACCATCTTTTTCTTTCACAATTTTCCTGTGCAATTTGCTTCTGATGCACGACAGGAGGAGGCTGTGATGGAAGTGGCTGTGGCTGGAGCACCGGCGTTGGTCACGTCACGGCAGGGGCTTTGCCAAAGAGGGGACTCGTTACTTTAAATGATGCATCTACCAAGTGAAGAACCAAGACTTGAGTGTTTCTTGGCCGGCACCTGGGCTCTGCCTGTGTGGTCGGTGTCCTGGCTCCCCTTGTTTTGCCAGCGGTGAGATTGTATGAAACAGCCTAAATGTTGGCAGTGTTACAGCCTCAGAGCTACTTGTGCTTGCGCCTCTTCGTGGGAGAGTTAGGAACACTGAAACACATGGGTGAGTTTTCTTCCCTACATTGGAAAATAATCACAGTAAGAAGGAACGGGAGCGCACTGCCGGGTTTGCTCCCTTTGACATCGATGGGAGTTTTGTCCCTGAGAAATAGGAGCTTTCATGATGGTCCTACCGCTGCCACAAAGAGCAGCAAGTAGAGCTGTCCCCTCCAGGTGACGGATCTGTAAAACCGCTCTCCTCTCTAGGTCAACAAATAGCTAACTTTTCAGGACTGGTGCTTAAGAGCAGTTCCTTGACCCGACGCGTGGATGGTTTGGCTTTCAGTGACTCTCAGCTCTTGGTGCGTTTTGCTGTGAGCAGCCCCAGGATTCCCAAGTCACCATCTCGTGCTCGGGGCTGACTCTGAGCGGCCACGAGCCTGCACCTTCAAATAAACACAGAGCCCCTCTGCCCACGAGGGCTCCCACTCCCATCTGTGCCTAGCAAAAATGCGGAGCTGCTCTGAGACCGGCCTCCGTGCCAGCGGGACCCCCTCCCTTTGCACGTATTCAGAGCCGCGTCGCTGATGGGCGACCAGAGGAAGATGCCATCGCCTTCCACCGCCGCAGGGCCTGCAGAAACAGCACAGCTGAGGATCAGGACTCTGATAATAAAGTCCTTTGGGTACTTGGGCTGGCTGTTTACTCACTGCCAATACACCGACTGTCCCTCCGGCCGGGGCACAGAGGTGGGCTGGAGGGTTGGCTCTGCAGACACGGTGTTGCACGGGGGAGCCGAAGCTTTTTCTTGTGCTGTTGGTGCCTGCCAGCAACTTGTGAGAACCTGTCCCTCGGCGGCAAGCCGGGTTGGCAGAACTGGCAGAACGGAGCGCCCCGTTTGTGATGAATGGGAGTCTCTGACAGGGACCCCACCGAGGGTGGCAGGTTCTGAGAGCGGACGGTGGCGTTAGTAGCCATCTGGAGCAGAGCTAGCTTTTGGGGAGCTCGTCCCCCCAGACCTGACTTGGGTGCAATTGTAACTTGCCCTCCTTACTCTGCATCGTACGGGACAAAGCAAAGTACTTCTGTGTATGCAGTGTAGACTCGGCGGACACTTAACCAAAAAAAAGTACATTTTCTGTATGATTACTAGGTCCATCTGCACACCACAACTGTATATATTTTCTAAACGAGCGTGCACTTGAAGGTTAAAGCTGCGTATATCTCTGTGTGTGGTTGTGTATACACGACATAATTTTTTAAAAGCGAATTCAGCCATTCTTCTTCTGTCAATAGAAATGAGAGCAGACCTCGAGTTAGTAGGTAGATGCTGTTAAGTCCTTTTATATCACGTATCTGTGACAGCTGGCATTTTCCTGGACGCCTTGAATAGAAGCTTTTTGTCGTGGATTCTTACGCTGTGCATCGAAATTCAACTTCTGGGGAAGTTTTCCTGAGTTCCGTCTGGTTTATTTGCTGGTGTTGATGGATGGCGCCACCCCTTGCGACGCATGCGTTCCTCTGCTAGCAAACTTGCTTGGTCCTCCCTTGAAAACACAGCACCTGTGTGGGCATCCTTATGAATTACTTGCAAACTGCTTACATGCCTCTCCTCTCGTTGACTCGCTCGTGGAAGCTTTTAGGTTTTCTTTTTTTCCCCACTCAGTTTTTTAAAAGAAAGGAGTGAGGAGAAAGAAGGGAGGATTCCTGCAACTTTCGGTAGGGTGATGTCAACAATCTGAAGTTGATCAGGAGCGCGCGTCGCACGGTTTGCAAGTCTGGGTTGGTGGCTCGGAGGGTGGATGGAGCAGAAGTAAGTCTTTCTACAGCCGCGGGGGCTTCTAGTGCTCTTCAAACTTGTGCAGGCTTTCTTTTGAAGCGCGTTTTTATTAAAGTGAGGTTGGAATGTTGCTGAACCTCTAGCCCTCTTCACTGCTCTTTCCCTGAGCTGTATGTTTTAAGCTCTTTATATTACCAAGCAGAGGTAAGGCACCCAGGCCACGGGCATGCCGCTGCGAAGGCCGGGGTGACCCCTCACCAGCAGGCAGGGATGGCGAGTGCAGTCCCACGGGTGAAGGAAAAATATCATCTCCCAGCACGATTTTACTGGGCAGCAGTGCTGCCCTAGGAGCTGCCGGCGGCTGCGGCGTCACTGCTGCGGACTGCCCCGGGGCGTGCTGGTGCTTTACCCGTTGGGATTCCTGTGTTGGATTCACCGGGTGCCACTCCCTTGCCCTCTCTCTAACACACCAGGGATTTTGGTGCCTCGCCGGCGAGGCGGGCTGGTGTTTTGGCTGTGAAATCGGGTTGGTGCTGGTGGCTGGGAGTCCTGGGGATGTGCGGGGCACTCCCCGGGGGGCGCCGGGCCGGGGTACGGGGCCGACTCCCCGCCTGCCTTTGAGGTCTCGCCATCGGGAAGTTGGTTTGTTGTGTTGTGGGATCAGTCTCCTGGTTCTTGCGGAGGCGTTTGATCCAGGGGCTTTAAATGCCTCGGACAGGGTTTGCTCAAGGCAGTCAGGGGCTGTGCGGGTGGTATTCCCGAGACTCTGTAGCTCTCAGCAGGGAGTTGGCCATCTCCTCACGCAGCAAAACTTCCTGACCTCCGGTGTTTTCAGGGCCACAGAAGACCTGGCCATGCTTCTGAGCAGGTTCCAGCTGCTAGCTCTTCCACCATCACTGGTGAGGGTGAAAAGCCCAACGTGCTTCCCCTCCTATCAGCTGGCCAGGGTTTCTCACCTGTGGGTAGCCAGGTGTGGCCACCACAGCATCCCCCCCCCCGGCTCCTGATGAACTCTGTGCCTAGTGCCACCCTACCTCCATCCCCCCAGCCGTGCGTGGCGCCCAGGACAGGGTGCTGCAGGGTGTAGCCTCTGCTCTTCAGGTGGAGGGAATCGTTTGTTTCTTGAATGTTTTTCAGGTCACGATTTGGAGCAGTCTGGCTACAGGAACACCTCGAGATTTGTTCTGGATTATGTTAAATCCATCGGCTGCCTGATGAGTGCTAAGGGTAAATGCTTGGGGCAGACGTATCTAGGCTCCTCCACGCCCTAGAAATGCACCGATTTGGGAAAACAAAGCTCCTTAAATCTTGGTTTAGGGGGAAATTGAGGGTGAGGAGGGCGCGTGGGCACCGCCTGCCTCCCTTTGCTTCCGTCGTGCGTGTGAACTGACCTGCCGCCGGCGGCAGCCATGAAACCCCGGCAGCAGGGGCTGGACGCGGGCGGTTGCCAAGTGCAGAAAGGCTCAACTTGATGGGTTTCGGTGGAAAAAATACCAATCCCAGCCCCGGAATTGTCCTCGACTCCCGCCGCCCTGTCTCGCGCGGCGGCACTGGAGGGCTGCCGGGGCAGTTGGCGCAGGACGCGCTGGCGGTCCGGGCTGGGAGCTGCTCCTTGGGGGAGACTTCTGATCGTGGTGGGGTGGGATGTGGATGACCAGGGGTGGGGAGCGGGGCGGGGGGGGTGACCCGGAACCAACCAAGGGACAGAAACCATCCAGCTTCCAGCAGCGCGGCCGAGAAGGGGGCACAGCCTGGAGACGCTCTCCGCCTGCGGGCAGCTCCGGGGGGGTTACGCCGGCGGCGGTTATCAGCCTGGGGTTTGTTGCTGGGTTGCTGTGGTTTGGGTGGGGAGGCGGGGAAGAACAGCCTTGGAACACCGTCGTCTTCTAACTAGCTGCTGTCGGAAGCGAGCGGGGCTGCAGAGTGGCTCCACGATCGCGGGACCGGCCTCGCAGACACTCCGTGCCCTTGCCCAGGGACTTTGGGAACGGCTCACTCCCAGGCTCAGGAGATGCTTTTTATTCCCCCAGGAACGTGTTTTCTTCCCATAAAGCCCCTCGCCTCCGACGTGCTTGCCGAGGGAAGGCTCTGTGTTCACCGGTGACTTAAGTTTACTGCAGTCTGAGGGTTCGTAAGGTTTTGCTGCTGCTTCTCCTTCAGCCTTCCAGCAAACACGCAGCCCCAGCCCTCGCTCTCAGGCTCAGGGCAGCCACAACACCTCTGCCAAGGCAGCGCCCTTGGGCTGAAGCTGCTAAAAATCGCCCAGTCTTATTCACAAACCTTTGTTCTGCTGGGCCAAAGCCACTAAAAGTTGGCGCGCTCTTACTAAGGGATTTTTGGTCTTGAGTCTCCCCTCGGCCTCCTTCTCCCCGGTGGGACTGGGTGCTGCACAGCTCCTAGGAGCAGGGGGCAAATGTCACTGCAGCACCTCCCGTGCCTCTCAGTAATTAGCAGGCTGACTCATCAAGTTGTGCTGCAAATAGAACCCCAGATCGGCGAGGAGGGCACTGGCCCTGCCCTTTCTGGCCGGGGCTGCCAGGCAGCTGCGCCTCTGTTTCATGATCACATCGGGAAAAGATAATGTAGGGACAAGCTTTTTTGTTCAGTGGGTGTTGGTTTTGTTGTTTGGTTGGTTGGTTGGTTTTTTTTTTGCCTTTTCTTGCTGAGCCCTGCGACAGCTTACGCTGCTGGGAAAACAAACAGCTGGGACAAAGTTTTCCACCAAGCTCCTCAGACCGTATGAAGAAGCGAAGGCGGCATCGCTCTTACTTCACGCAAACAAAAATCCAACCCCAAGCCCCTCAGAGGGGCTGGGTTTATATGAAGGTATACCCACGAAGCCACTTTTTGGCCCGCAGGTCAGCCCGAAGGCAGTTCAAAGCGACTGCCGGGTAAAAATGCTACAGAAGAGGAGGGGGGGGCAGCTGCCACCCCAAGCGCCCGGTGCTGCACGGTGAGGGGACAGCGGAGAACGGAGAGGGAACCGGGACGCGCCAAGCGACCCTCCGCCCCAGCCCCGGCAGGTGAAGGTACCGCCTCAGCAGCACCTACCTGTTATTTTGGCTTCGTGTAGTGAGACAAGGCATGGGGATAAGCTGGAGCGTCTCCCTGCGTCTTTCTAGAGGTTCTTCTCCTGCTGCCCAACCCCGCCTTACCGAATAGCGACGGCCGGATTTACAGCAGCTCACGTCAAGGAGAAGGGGTGGCTAAAGCCAGGGCACTGCTGCTCCCCCTGTACAAATCCCAGTTGCTCTGCTGGGCAGAGACTGGGGTCCCGTGTCCGTGTAACCGACGTGGAACCAGTGAAAATAAAGGGGGGGAAAAGTGAACGACTGCGCTGGGAAAAATACTGCTGCGTCCAAGCACGCTGCTGGGACAGGGCTCAGGCAGCACACGTGCTTCTTCCCACCTCTATCCTACCCTGTCGCGATGTGACGGAGAGCTTTTGTGCTAGGGAAGCCCCAACGCATTTATTTATGGCTGAATTTGAACAGGTTGTCTTCAGGTCCCTACCTACCGACCAGAAACAACGTTGTTAATTGAAAGCAGCGTGGCAAAGGGGGCTGTGAGCGGCACGTGGGGCTCTGCAAAATGGAAACACTGCCTTTTGCTTGCAGCACACTCCAGGTTTCCTTCTGCCACCCAGCCAGAGAAAAACAAGCTGGAAAGCAGATGTTAGTCAGCTGGCCAGGGAGAGATTTCACACACGCGTTCTTAAAAACCAGCTTGTCATGAGTCAGGCTTTAGCTGCAAACTCTTCAGCAGGACCTGTGTGACCAGAGGGGAGAGCAACGCTTTGCACTGAGCAACATCTGCTAAAAATCATCCGGGAGAAGCAGCAGCGGAGGGGCCTGCGGCGCTGGTAAAGGGTGAAGGTTAAATAAAAGCGATTTGCCCGCTCGCTGGCGTGTGCTTCAGCCTGCAGGCCTGAGCTCGCGAGGCGGTTCAGCAGTCGGGTCAGGGGGACGGCTGTCACCGCGGTGCTGGGGGGGAGGAAGGAGTACAGCAGGAAAAAAAGAAAAAAAAAGAAACACACAAATTACCAAAGAAACACACAAATTACCACCACACAGCTTGATCTTTACTAATAAAGCCAAAGAACAAAACATCGGCGTTTTTTTCTTTTTCCTCTTTTTTTCTGCTCGAAGAGCAGCTCCGTTTTTAACACTACTGCTTTTTTGCAACGGATGGACTATTACACACGGACAAAGCAAACCAGGGAATACTACGACATTTTCCACGTTTTTAGTCTGATGTGATTTCTGGAAACAACGCCCTTGGCGAAATGCACTTTTTCACCCTCACACAACATCCTTTCTTCAGGGGCCGCCGGACGAGCAGAAGGGAGGGGCCTCCGGGCCAGTCGTGCTTTCCAGCTCGCTGCCTCACATCCCCAGCTGCGCTCGGTTCCAAGAGGATCCTGCCGAGAGGTGGGTCCCGGCCCCACGGCAGCACAAGGCTGCCCACGGCCTGGAAGGAGCGGGTAGCTGACTCGCTCCTTATTTCCACGGGTGCGCTCGAGCATCTTGGAGATGCGCTCAGTGTTAAGCTGCCCTACATGCCTATATATTTTTCAAACCAGCACGTTTTAATTCCCCTTGGGATCCAGTTGGCCAAAATCACCTCCCCCAGGTGCCGCTCAAAGCTCAGCAGCCAAGCAGCCGTGTGTGTAACACAATCACCGAATGAAACCCCCCCCCCCCACCTGTTGCCCTCCTGATTAAGCAGTCAGGACAACACGGGCTTGGAATTTGCCGGCAAGGCCGGTGGCTTCTGTTCCGTGTTTGCAGGTGGTTCCTGCAAACCTGGCAAACCCCTTCCCCCCTTAACCCACCCCCCGCAGTCGCAGCAGAGGGGAAGGGAAAAAGGGGTGTGTGGGGGGGGTGATGTGAAACAGGGTCAGAGCTGCCATCCACCTCCTTTGTTAGAATTCCTGTGAGACTTCGACCTGGGCAAGGTCCCTCCCCGGCTCTTCTGGGGGCAGGATCAGTGATCCACAGCCTGAAGGAAGAAACCCCTGGGTTTGACGCCCTGCCCCCCCCCATCTCCTGCCCTTTGCCAGAGGGGTGGAAGAGCCCCCCCCCCCCTCGTGTTTCAGTCCCACGCGACAAACCAGCAGAGCAGCAACTTTAAGCTGTTCCTGCCCCGGTGCTGCTGCTGTCGCCCAGAACGGAACGTGCAGACGATTCACCCGCCGGTGGATTTGGCGCAGCCACCCGCTGCTGCGCAGGGGTTCTGGCCTCCCCCAGCCCAACCACCAAATCCCCCCCCCCCCCGAGCTCGGGCTCCGCCGCACAGCCCGCTCCCACCCAGCAGCAATTAAAATAAGCACCTGGAACAACGAGAGAGCAGGGGGAGACCTGGGGGGGGGCTGACAGCAGAGCCGGTGCCAGCCAGCGTAGCTGCACTGACTCGCCTGCCTCCAGCACTTGCTCCCCGGACACGTTAAGCCTGCGGTGAGCACGCTCAGAGCACGGCTCCTCCCAACCTCAGGCGCACCCGGAGGGAGGTTAGGTATTTCACACACCCCCCTCCCACGCCACGAGGGGGAGCAGAGCACCAGCAGCACAGTTAAAACTGAGGGCAAAAGGGCTTTTTTCCGTCCGGATTTTCAGCTGAAACGAACTTCAGTGGCAGCCTCGAGCGCTGGTTTCACACTGCTCATTCAGCTCCCGCAGCCTCCACGAGCGGCTGGTACTTGCGGCTCCCGTTGTACCTGGGCTGAGTGCGGCGGGGCTGGCAGCCGGACAGAAGGGCCCAGGACAACCAACCTCCTCGGCTGGGGAGCAACAGGTCATCCGGAGTTACCGGCGTGAGACGGACGCCCTCCTCTTCCTCGGTGCCACACTGGGTGCTGCAGGACGGGCTTGTTACAAACCCGCGGCCGGGAGGGGAGCGGCGAGAGTCACGGTGTCCCTGCTCCGCTGGCGGCGGCAGCCGGTTTGGCCGGGGGGACTCCACCTCCAGCTGACGCTGTGCCACGGGACGGGGCTTGGCAGGGGAGGGGGGGAAGCATCTCCACCCTGCTGTAAGGGCCTCGCGCGCTCACCGCGTGCGGGTGTCAGCGGCGGCCTCTCTTTTGGGCTTTCAAAAAAAAAAACCTCCCCCAACAGCAGCAAAAGGCAAGTCAGGTCCCTTCCAACCTGCAGAGCTTGGAATTCACCAACCTCGCACCTCTTCCTCAAAAAAAGGCTGACCTCCATCACCTTAGCTTCTAGGGACTGTGGAGAAAAATGCAGAAAAATATGAACAGAGAAACGTTTCTCATCTCTTTCGAAAGTTGCCAGCTCACCAGAGGAGCTGGGCACCGTCCTGCAGCGACCCCTCTCTCCAGGTAAGCACGCTGCAGAGGCACCGCTGCCGCTGCCAGTCATGCACGAAGGTACAGGACAGAGATTCACAGAGACACCAGCTTTTGGCTAACGACAAAGGACTCAGATCAACACACGACACCGATACACGTGCAGAGCATGGCAAAGACCTGAAGACAACAAATACGAGGGGAGAGAGAAAGTTCAAAACTTGACTTCTCTTGTCCTGCGTCTGAGCGTGTCACTGGAACAGAACTTAAATGCGGCTTCTCTCGCCCATGCTCTAATGACTTGGTGGTCCTTCGGGGCAGGGAGGGGCGGGGGGGGAAAGGGGTTTATCCATACATCTGTTCAGGGTTGAGTCGGTTCAGGATCAGAGGCACTAAACAGTCTCATCTCTTTTGGCATCGGTTTCCTTTCAAAACGATCTTTTAGCTGTCCTGTTCCGCTTTGTCTTCCCTCCTTTGAGGTCCAAGTTCAAACGCTGGAAACCGGGATGTCTCCGGTACTGAAATATCTGAGAGGAAGTGAATAGCTCCAGCCATGCCTAAAACATAACGAGAAAGAGATCTCTGTGCACCTTTGGCATTGAAACAGCAGAGTTGACAGCAAAGGCAACAGCGCCTGTTTGAAGACCTCATCACTCGATCTTCTTCTGAACAGGTGAACTTGGGGCCTACAGAAAGGCAAGTTCATCCGTGCTTCACCCAGGAAACCAAGTTTCCCTTGAAAAGATCAAAGGCCAGAACCAAGATCTCCCCGCTGCCACCGTTTGCAGCTGCACAACCTCAGTGCTACTTCAATCAAGACAAGGTCAATCCCGGTTGGGACTGGCCCTCTGAATTGGAGCAGCTCTTGCTCATCATTTCACTGGTTAAAAAACAAAGGCAAAACTTTATTCTGGTTGTGATTTACAGATTCATTTGTTCGCTATTCATAAAGAGGTCAGCCAGAGCCTGAGGCACTGACACCAGCATCACCTAATAAAACTCTTAGGGTGAGAGACAGGGGCACCCTACAGCGGGAGAGCTCAGCAGCAGCTAGGCGCATACAAACAAAGGAACCTTCCTGAAATAGAGCATCTGATGGAAATTAAACAATTAAGACAACCCCGTGAGATGCACACGCAACTTCCACTGAAAGTGTGCACAGACAGGCAGAACGGGACAGCTTCACACACCGTTTCGGCTACAAAAATCCCCCCCCCCCAAATTAAAGACTTCTTTTATCTCCATTTTGAGACTTCTAGAGTTTTCTAAAAAAAAAAAAAAAAAAGAAAAATCACCAACCTTAAAAAATTAAAGATGTGTGTCAGCGTTAAGACACAAATCATCCTATTGTTGGCACTACTTCACCTTCTCAGCAAATTCCAAAGCTCTTACACAACAGACTGTATGCCTGCCTTTTCCCTCTACAAGTGCACGCAAGGGAGCTTTGAGGAATAAGAATAGTTATATTTTCCTCCCTTAAACATTAAGAAAATAACCGTATTTAGAAGGGATGCATATAACTGCTGCTCTCTTGCGTTCACACCTTGGATTGGTGTATTTGCTGAATAATCCTACTAGGTCTGCTGTCATTTCATGTATCTGTGGTAGGTGGCACACTAGGCGCACTGTTGATGAAGTAGCAGGGCTATAAATCCTACTGGGGTCTCTGATTCCTTGCTCCTGTGTTTCTAACACGTAAGGATGAGATAGGGAATAGAAAATAAATTAGAAATAATAATAAAAAAAAGACACAAAGTTCTAGGAAAGCATTTAGGAACATCTTTGAATTTAGAGAAAAGCCCCTAAGAACTCTGCATTTCTTTTCTGCTCCAGTGATTTGAGTTCATATTGAAACCAGCTCTTCCTGGTGTTCGTATTGCAGCCGAGGAAGTCTAGTTCTGAAAAGCCAGCAACTACTTTGAGACCCCCTCCCCACAGCTGCTCCTCTGCCCAGTTCCTCTGCGACAAACCTGTCGCCCAGACTTCTGTTTTGGTTTGAGCCAAGAGGCACCAGCACAGCAGAAATTTATTCAAGAAGAACAGCGGAACTGGTTTTACCTTGGAAACAGGTGAAATGCAGCCAAAAGTGAGAGTCGTGAGAGCAAATTACTTTCTTTTGTCTTTTTCTTCCCCGGGCCCTGGCCGCCTTTGAGGCAGAGATGGTGGTAGGGGGTGGGTCTGTTTTTAATAGCAGAGGAACCCCCTGAAGATTTCCCAGCTCCTAAGCACGCGCCTAAACCGTGAGGCTGCCCTTCTTTCCTGTGTAATACAGCCCCTTTTGCAACGCCATCACTATACCTTCAAAGAGAGAATAAGGTCGGTCAGGAATACGACACCCATGTGCACCATACTCCAAGCACCATTCAGCAAACTGTGGAAAACGTAAAGAAAAAAAATGCATTATTTTTTTATTTCAGACTGTTAAGTGCAAGCTTGAGTATCTGCGTGTCTTTAATAGGTACTAAATGTAAACCAGTGTAAGTGGAGACACAGCACAGAAATCAGTGCCCGAGATCAATCTGTCCCACTTCAGCCCTGACAAGGCTACAGTTCGGTTTGAGAGTTGTGTTTCCACAGCAAGACTTTCCGTTTTGTGACAGCGTAATCAGGTGGGCTGTCCTTCTGTTTTCTGTAAACCCACCCTGCTACCCGTCAGTGAGAAATGCTGTGAAAACAGATACATTCAGTTTCAAGGGCAAACTTAATACTGTAATATCAGTTTCTTCTCTGTCTTGGTGCTTAATTTATCCGCGTGCCCAGGACTTAGGGTTGTTAACTGCATTTTGGTTTTCTTTCACTTCTGTGGACCAATTTAAAGGATTCCATCTCCAGCTGCCATTACCTATTCCTCTCTCCAAACTTTATCAAAAAATCGTTGTAAATACAGTTAAGACAATTAAGGTCATCGATATTGTGTTGAGGAAAATGGAACACCATTAAAAAGAGTTAACAGTGTCTTTCTTGTGTTTGATCCACACTGCTGCAGTAGCTACACACGACCTATGAACCGCATCTGGATCAATTTAATGGCAACCACACACTTCTCCTTTATGGCTCCCCAGAGCACGGGGAGGGCCGCAAGTTCCCCTGGCATTTCTGTGCTTGGAAGCAAACAACTGCTCCTTCAAAATACAGCGCGAAGATTCCTGCAAAGCAAAGAACTGAGAGGCCTCTCCTCACCCCCCTGCAATTCGGGCAACCTGCTAGTAAACTGATCATCCTACGAACTGGAGCGAGCCCTGGCTCTGCTGTCCCCAGAGCTGTCCAACCCATCCGCTCAGCGGGAGGACAGAGGGTGGCACACCTCCTCCCTTCTTCCCCCGACTCTGTTCTGTTTAAATGGTTCCTGGGGGATGAATTTTTCTTTTCCTGGTAGGCGTGTGTGTGAATGTCTGGAGGAAACCCAGCAAAAACCCACAAACACAAACACTGTGGTCCACACTGCTACTGAGAACCGATGAAACATTTTTGAGCCCCCCTCAGGGCTATAAATCTTCAAATCAAGGTTTAATTCTCCATGTAATCTTGTCGTACTATGTAAGGACCGAACATGTTTACGGCATGCTTCTAAACTGCAATCAATTCTTGCAACATCTGCATCTTATTGCGTACTAGCCTTCAGTACTACTGCCAGACCGGGAACTGCAAGAGAAATTCAAAAAATGCACCCCGGGCTACCGAAGCCCAACCATCGTTTACCAGTTCATAGCTTCAGCACAACTCACCAAGCCAGTAAGCCACACTGATATCTTTGTTAAGCCAAGGCGGGGGGGGGGGGAAGAGGAGAAACATCTTCTAAGCAGGAAGACATCTGCTGTTATTTGTCAGGTAGACTTGGCACACCTGTCCCCAGCAGTGGTTTAATCTCAAGGCTGAGCAGCACAGCGCTGGGGTGCTCTCTTGCCTGGAGCCCTGCCCTCTCCCTCTGCCCCTCCCCGCCCAGGCAGGGCAGCGCGGGAGGGCTCAGCCTCCCTGGAGCCCGGCTCCTGACGCTGGGGAAAATCTGCCAAGCCAAAAGCGAGAAGCGCAAACCAAGGGGCTCTGTGAGCTGCAGCCTTTCAAGCTCCTCTGTTTCATTTGTGAAATAGCTTCACGGCTCCCGAGAGGTAACTAGGGAGTCCTGGCCGGATTCCTTCCCCTGGGCCTCACGTTTTTGGTGTGAGCAAACACCCCTGGGAGGGGAGCACTCTAGTTCTCTCAGGCCTTCGCACGCTTGCTTCCCTGCATGCTCTGGCTCAAAACGAAAAGATTTTGAGAATGGCAGACAAGCAAATTCCTCAGCCTGTTTCAAGATTTCCCCTGCAAGAGCCCGAAGAGCGAGAGCTGTTAAAATGCAGAATGGCTGCAAATACACTGCCAGATCCGGGCACCTTCACCCCGCAGCCCCTGGCCACATCTTCCTTCTCAAAGGGATTTCAGGTATGGAACCGAGTCTCTTCCTTCTTTGGCTTTGAAATAGACACACTTACTTTTCTCTAGCTTGGTCTGGAGGAAGGCCAGGGCTCTCTCGGGCCAGAAATGCAGCACCAAGGCCCCCCCTGCCTGCTGGGGGGGCTCCCACGGCAGCAGGGGGTGAGTCCCACCTGTAACGAGGTCACCCCTCTGCCATGGGAGCCACAGGCTTCCATCACCTTACCTAAGATGCAGGTATGCCTACACGTGTCCTCGTAGTGAGACGCTTTGGCAAACTTGAGACAAGCAGCAACTTTTTAAAGCTGGGCTGGTGGAAGACAGGCTGACAGCGGAGGTGAATGCAGCAGCTGCACGCACGGCCAGTGCTCACCTAACAGCACCTAAGAAGCAACTCACCAAATTCCCCATTGCCACACTTTTTTTAAAAGGCCTCAGCTAAATAGCTATGTATGTGATATGAAACCTAGTATCAATGAATGAAGCTGAGGAAAAAAAAAAAAAACAACAACAAGAAACCAAACCAAAACCATACAAAACAAAAGTCTTATGAGATGAGGAAGCAGAGGCAGGGAAAGCCTTCTCCTTTGGAAACTGCAAGCGTAGTTTGCAGAACCTGGAGAATTCCACTGGAAAAAATCTGAGCATGTCTTCCTCTGCAATTTGTATAAGTGAAAAAAAAAAAAAAAAAAAAAATCTGAGCAATTTAATAACTGCAATTCAGAGCTCTAAAAGCCCCAAACAGACACTAGTCTGAAAACAAATAATTACAAAAGCCTACGAGCAGTATTGCTTGAGGAGCTGAGGATGACAAATTCTCAGTGGAATAATTAGCACCACACAACACTAGTCAGTTACTGCTCAAGGCAGGCTGATTTTCAGACTCCGTTTTCTTCTGGCTATGTGTCTAGCTCCTCCCTCCCTACAGAAGGTTTGTGCGCTCTGCTCTGCCGCTGCCAGCGCCACCGATTTTGCTGGGATGATGCAGAGCTCACCTTGCAAGCTCGGTAGAGGTACTTTTTGTCCTGAGTTAGGTTATAGAGAGACAAGAAGGAGTAGCCGTTGCCAGCAGTACCGTGGCAGATCCCATATCCTTTTCTCAATAAACCTCTTTGCCAGATGACATCGCTGCAATCCACAGCATCTTTCAAGTATTTATCCTCCTTAAAAGTCTGTGGAATAAAAACAGAGAATAAACACACATAAATCAGAGTACTAACGAAAACAAAAGAAAGCTGGACCCAAGGGATATTTTGCTGTTGGTGGGGGGTTCTTTCATCTACAATTTATTTTCAATTTTAATAATCCATTCATCATAGACTTACCTTTCTTTCCTTACAAAGATGTTTCTCCTTTCTCTACATGGAAAAAGAAAGAACTTCTCAAGTTGTTTCTAAAATCGGGACCCCAAAGGAAAGACTCCAGTTCAAGGCCCTTGGTTCTACAACCTATAATCTATTTGAACCGTATGTGGTCCTTTTTTGCTTCTCCCCTCCATTCCCAAACCACAACATCATTTGATTTTCTGAAAGACAGAAATGTAATTCTTGCCTCCAAGAAACATAACGCAGAATACTGGACATCAAATCTGTTCCTAAAGGGCTAGGGTCTGGTCTTCCTGAGTAATTCTTCCTGGTAACTCACCATCTGCCTTCAATTCCATGTCAAAAATGCAGAAGAATATCTCTTTACATAGCACGGGGCTCTTTTCACTGTCACAAGTACAAGTAGGAATTACCCACTCGGGTAGCACTAGCCAGTTTGGGCAAAGGACCAATTTTGCAAACTTCATTGCAACTGAAGTGCATTTTGGACACAGAGAACCCATCAAGAGAGCAGAAAAGAAAAGCAAGTAATTTAGCTGAACACCACCAGACTTCCCCCTTTATAAGGCTACTTTTTTTGCTCTCCTTTGCTTAAGTCACTCTACAGATCAACAAAAAAAAAAAACAACAACAAACCGTAAAGGATGCACTACTGTAGACTTAGTTCTTTAGAGACAGCATCCCCTGCCAGGCTATTTAATAAGGTAATAGAAGCAATTAACATGCAAGATTCTTAAATCCACAAACTTGATAAAGGAAGTCCCTCTCTGAACATTGCTTGTCTGCTACTTAGCTGTAACATTCTGAATTAAGACCTGGCAACAGCATTTGATTTCCAGGACAAACACTGTCATCTGTTATCACAAGACTCTTGGTATGCTTGGTATGAAAGCACAGCCACCAAAACATACAACAGTTTTTCTTACCACTTCTTCAAAAAGCTGAATATAAAAAGAAAAGCATCATATGCCACATCACCTTAAGCATAAAAAGAGGTCAGAAAGGAGACTGCTAAACAGAACCTGGTCCTTGGTCCTATCCCTCTTATCTCCTGCAAAGAATTTTGTGTTGGGGAAAGCATCACATTGACAAAGAAGCAGGGGGGAATAAAATAAAAATATAATAATTCTGCAGTGTAAAGTCAACCTCCTACTACAGTCCAAAGAAAAAGCAACTGTGATTGCTGCTACATTCAGCAGTGCTGTAAGAGATTTACAGTTTGCATTTCATGTAGCAGCACGAGTAATTATTCCATAAACCAAGCCTGCTTTTCATCAGCCCACCCAGAGACCAACCAGGGAATCTGCCAAGGAGGGCTGTCAAAAGCAAGAACCAATTTGCATAAATTTAATTAAATGGCATACTTTCAGATGTCATGCAAATCAGAAGTGCACAACACAAGAGAGATGGCAAACCTAGTTAGGGATGGAGAAGAGCAAGCAGTAGGCTTGTGGTGGCTCAGCGGTTGTATTTATGCCCTAGAAGGGGCCTGGGATCTTTGCTCTGGCATTAAGTTCTCAAGAGTTGTATCTTAATAATGGAGTAATTTATGGAAGACATTCTTTGGCAAGACCCATGAGCCTACGCTTTTGAAAACCAACATAATTCTTAAAACTCTTGGGATGAAGATTCAAAGAATTTAGGTCAATGTTCTCACACCCAGGACTCTGATATCAAATTGTTTAACTACATGGCCCTTTTCCAAGAAAGCCTAAAATCTAGTAACTACTAGCACTCTGAGAAGCAATTCTACCCACTTACTTCCTCTTTAAAAACATACCTAGGTACACATTTTGAGATTTTTAGGTGCCTAGCCTAGCGTTCTGGTTTGAAAGTCTAGATCTAGAAAGACATAAAATGCAAGCCTTACAATCTAACCGGCCTGCATACAGATCTCTGTAAAAATAGAGGTGTATATGAACATAGAATGATTCACCTTATAAGCTTGCATGAGCATGTGGATGACTCCAGGGGCACCATGGCACCAATGAACCAGTCTGTCAGTCTCATTGCTCAGCGACGATGGGTAGTTCCCAGATCGGAATTTTTTATGACGCACATAGTCAATGCTTGGCTTCACCAGCTCTGCCAGGGTCTCCTGGTCCACATTTGCAATTGGCTAAAGAAAATATTAAAAAAAAAAAAAAAACCACACCAAAACCGTAAACAGCAGTAACAAATTGTGTGTCAAGATTCAATTCCATGATCTGTTTTCAAGAATCCTACGTAGGTGCCCTTGATCCAAATACTTTGAATCACTTCATACAGATTTAATTAATGTCTGCTTACAATACCCTTGTGAAGAGCACTTTCAGAGCTACTGTAGAGACAAAGAAATTGGGGCACCAAGTTGTAACCTGTCTTACCGGAGGTGACACAGAAAGACTATGGAAGAACTGAGAACAGAATATGGATTTCAAGACTCTAGGGCCTCTCTTTATGCCTTAAAATGGAGGGAACATTTACAAGAGAAAGACAGTTTTATAGCTATGTTGCTCATACTAAACATTTAAAACACAGTGGCTTACACATTTTGTTTTAAAAATAGCTAAGGTAGGCAAACCTCTCCTATGTCCCAATAAATGAAGAGTGTATGTAGTGGCACACCTGGCAAAGGTTTATGAAGGTTAAAGCTTTCTATCATAAACAAAACCCCCTGAAGCTATGGCTATAAATCTGCATTTCTGATCTCAGAAGCAACAGCTACTTCTCCAGGTAGCTAAACATCTTTGTACTACAAACTCATCTTTAGATTGCTCTTCTGAATTTTCATTCTCATTTCTTCTATTTAGTTTACATCCATGCCAAAAGGAGAGTATATCCATCAACCTGCCTGCTCCGTGTAAGTAAAGGTTGAGAAGCCGAGTATCTGTTGGGTCTGCAGTTGTTCTCTGTTGGTATTCCCTCCTCTACAAGCCCGGTTTACAGTATTTTCATAACAGAGCTCTCTGTTTTTACACAGCCTACATAATTTTTGGAATTCCTGCAAGCTGTGAGAACAACTGCAAAAAAATGGAGCCTACAGGAACCTAATAACGGAGCTCATTCTTTTAAATAACTTGTCTCTGTTGCTGACTCGATGTCATACAATTTCAGTTTCCCACCAGCTCCAGCACATTTGAATTCAATAGGTGAGCATACTGCTACAGTTGACAGTCTTACAGCCAAATGAATAGCTGTATTTTCAGTAACCTAAGGGGCTTTTTTTTTTTTTTTTTTTTTCACCTTTCACTCAGCTTCTATTTCATCTCAGCCAGGAAAACTTTTCCAGACTTCTACCTACCAGGTCCCTCCAGCAAATTCCACCGCTGCACTTCTGAGTGGAACAGAAATCTTCCTGCTGCTCATCGGAAATACACCAGAATACAGATCAGCTTATCATGAAGAACGTGCTGGAGCTGATCAGCCCTCCCTCAGATGCTGACCTGTGGGGTAGGGGGGCTCTGGGGGAAGCTTTGTTTCGGGGCTGACTTCCCGCTGCACCCCTGCAGCAGAAGGCAAAGCAGATGGGCACCAGCAATAAATGCCTTCAGTCTGGAGCTGTGCAAGCCCAGCCCAGCCCAGCCCATCTGTCCTTGGGAGGTAAATCCAAGCAGAGAAAAGCTCTTCACAAACCTCCTTGTGCTTCCAAGAAGATCGGAGTACAAGCGAGCTCTCTGCCCAAGCTGTTGAGGTTCCCAGCACCTAATTCCAACAGCAAAAAAGCAAGCTACAGGTATGTATCCTGACTCTAGCCAAGAGCAATGATATGCAAACAGTCATTTTTGGCTCAGGGCTAGTGAAAGGGGCTGTGAGTAGAGATTCCCTAGCTAGCACTTCAGAATTCCCCCTCTACCTCCTGGATGAGTTATTTAACACTACTGAGCTCTTACTCTTCTGGTCTTCTGTAAATAAATCCAGCAATACATCTTTCCTCATAAAAGCGTTGTACAGAAATGATGATCGGTGACGTTCACATCTCAGGTGCTATGGTGGACAACCACTCAACAAACCATCTCCTGAATTCTTTGTTGAAAATACAGAAGAATTCTCCTCATTTGGTGTGGGAGGGATGGGAAAAGGATGGACTCCGATATGCCATCATCTTCTGCAGCAGATGACTCAACTCTGCATGACTCACAATATTTAATGTACAGTGACAAGACAGTAATCTAATGCTGCGTAAACAATGGATTTGTGGTAATTCTTAAAAGCAGCAATTATATGTAAAGGAAAAGATCGTTACGATTTTAACATGTAGACAGAGTAACTCCTCCCGAAACCAAAAAGCACTGTGCAATTATTTCTATCAGCCTTAAATAGTAAATGAAGGATGGACCCTTTAAAGAGGCTTTTTTAGAGGACCGGATGTTTCTCAGAAAATCTAGCAGAGCCAGGGAAAGAAAAAGGGAAGCCAGAAAGATGAGGGAACCAGAAAAGGGTGGACCACTTTGCTGAAGAAAGCAGGAAGTGAGGATAAGGGCACGGTAAATCAGAGGAGCCGGAGGCCCCGGTGAGAAGGTCACTGCAGAAAATGGTTGTAGTGAGGTTAAGACATGACCCCAGGCAGCAGAGCAGTAGCCCCTTCCACAGCAAAGTCAGCAGCTTTAGCCTGAGCTGCTGGTGGAAGCGGAGTGAGCTAATCTGAAACAGATGGGGAGAAGGCACAGCATCTTTTGCAAATGAGGAACGGCTGAGCAGTGGCAACACCAAATACCAGCTCAGTCACTTCTGCAGTGAACATCTGTACGCAGTTTCAGGCTGTGAGGATGTACAGTCCTTCCACTTGCCTGAAGGAAAGTCATTCTGCATGAGCTGGCAAGAAAATTAACATTATAAAGATGCAGAGACTGGCAGGACCTTTAAAAATCAGAAACAGATACAATACAAATTATGCAGCTCTATGGCCACCTTCCATCATGAATGTTCAGGCTCTTTTTCCAGATTGTACAACAGAAATAAGATATACAGGTCTGTTTTGAAAAAACATCATAATCCTATTGGGGAATCTCAGGGCAGGGGGGAATGGGTTTCAGTGTGGGAAATAGGAGGTATACAGAAAAGAGGAATCTCACTCAGGACAAGAGAAAGAAGAGAACAGGAGTCATAAATGCACTAAGGAACATCAGATTTTTGGGGGAGTGATGTGGGGCATATGGAAGAGGAAAAACACCTAAAGAATAAAAGCATACTGAAGATTAACTTGTGATTAAGGATAGTCTTCCAAAAGCTTCAAGACGGTGAAAAAAAAGTCTCTAGAGAAGAGAGGAAGGGCATGGTGGGCAGGACAGGAGGCACCAGCAGTGCACTCTTTTAAAAACAGCAAAAAATTGAAGAGTGATGGATGGTGAGTGACTACTTAGCTGGGCTAACTACAGGCGCCAGAATAAGTAAGTATGAGGATGAGGGAAGGCACCTCACTGTCTCTGTTGAGGATAAGAAACTTCAGCTCTTGGAACGCCGGTGCTCTGAACCACAACTCAAGGGTTAATTCACTCTAATGCGAGGATCCCCAAGTCAAAAATTTCTTCTGCTGCCAGGGGCTGAGCTGGCACCTCTGCACAGTTCCTGCTGCACAGTCGAACTCCACATTGTGAGACCCTGACCCAGCACAACACTGTGCACGCCTGAGAGCTGCAGATAAGATCCTCTTGATGGAAAACAAGAAATCACTGGTGTTTAAACGCAGCCCCCCGAAGACACTCTTACCTGCATGAGCATGTAATAGATCCCAGCCACGCCGTGGGCTGCTCCAACGTATTGCTTCCTGTGCCACTGGTACAACAGAGGACAACGGTCTGTTTTCCGTTCCTCCTTTGAAAAGTTTTTCCCCGATTCAATAATAGCATCTATCACCTAAGAAAGAGAACACATCCTTTCCATCTGTCTCGCTTGCTTTGATTCAGAGGGTTTTGCTTTGTCATGACTAAAACCACAGTAAAGAATAAACCACAATAAACAGTGATAGGACAATAATATTGAATTCATTTGGACCTGGGTGTTGAAGTAGAAATGGAGTTTTTCCTACATGATGAAATCACTTACATTTCTAAGAGTATAAATTTAATATATAAATATTTCTAATAACTTTTTTCCAGGCCTGTCTTCTCTGGTTCTGGTATCTACAGAATAGTCATGCATCCTTCCTGCACCGAATTCTCCTTTTCACTTAAACAATTCCACGCTTGTGTCTTAAGCTTTTTGTAACAACTTCTCATCCTCAGATGCTCCAAAACTAATTCCATATTAGATCCACTTCCACAGCAGGCGGTGGACGCCTGCACTGGCCTGTCTCAGTCCCAGGCGGGCAGTGGGGAAATGGGGAAGAGGTTGGAGGGATGGATGAGAGTGAGTTCCCGGCTCTAGGTCCCTCTCCTCTCCAGGATCCCTCCCCTAATCCCTTGATTTATGCGAAGGAGTGACTCCAGTTCAACCTCACTGATGCTGTGGCACTAGAGAGAGAAAAGCATCTTACCTCTTTGATAACAGACTGTGGGACAGTGTCCGGACCGATTTCAGTATTCAGGTACAGCAAGGCGTACAGGTATCCTGCTCTGCCATAAAGCAGCTCATCTGGGAGTTCAGCGTCTGCGCTTATGACCGTCCTTTGGAGCTGTAACAACCTGCACCAGACAGGGCAGGTGGGGAGAGAGAGCATCTTCTCTAGCGACCATCCTGGACTCTGCCTGGTACAGGTCACCAATCAAACCAGAAGCAGAACGAGCGCCGAAGCCCCGGCGTTCCCCTCAGCCATCCCCAGCTCAGCTGGCTGCCGGGTTTACGCGCAGGAGCTGTGTGTGCCTGCCACCCCTGACAGGCAGGCAACTCTGAGCCAGAGCCAGGTGAGGATTAGTGCAACTATCCCGTTTTTGTGTAGACAGACACAGATGTATGGGCGCAGGGTAGGGGCCGGAGGAGGCTGGAGAGCTACTCCAACAAATAGGGAAACCTCCTGGAGCCTCTGAGAATTTCACTTAAGTGTGAGAGGGAAAAAACAAGAACAAACAAAAAACCCAATTCCACCATTCAGCACACCCCCTTCCCTAGACAACGTGTTGTCTCAAATGTTTAGCAGCTCAGTTTTGAAAAGGGCACTGCTATTACACACAAATTTTTTGCTTGCCTTCAGCAATAAAACAACCGCCTTGGGCTGGCCATTGCAACTCTCCTTTGCTCCAGAGAGACTCCCTGCTATCACTCCACCAGTCTGCATTAGCACTGAGGTGGAGCAAAGATCTGTTTTCCTGCCCACTCCTCCTCCCTGCCTCTTCCTCAGTTTTGTGATTAAATTGGCAATTAGATGAAACCATGGAGATGATAACATTTTAAATTGGGGAAGGGGGCAAGACCGTCTGGATTAAGTCCAAATTAAATTTCCAGATCTCCCCAGCAGCAATTACTCGACAGAAGTGTTAGCACCAACATCATTCCAGAGTGAAAACACTGACCCCAATGGCTTGTTTATGCTGTCACTGCTTAATACCAGAGACAAGCCACTCACAAAAAAGTTTTATATTATCATTGCTTTCCTGGAACTGTGCTTGAAACTTAGAATTAAATTCTTTTCTTTTAAACTTCCACTGTTAAGTTTTATTATTCAAGTCATACAGCTGGACAGCTACAAGATCAAAAGTTAGAAGTGCGGTCATAGATTACATTTAGACATCTATTATGTGCCACCCAGCTGGTGTCATGAATATATTTGTAAACAAAAAAGGAAGAAAAGAAACAAATAATCAAAGTAATCTCCTTTTCAGTCCTCCTCCTAGTAATTACTTGCCAAGGAGAGGCGAGGCTAGAAGATTTATTCCTAATCTCATTTTGCTATACTCGTGCTTCATGCCTTACAGCAACCAGCAACACTGCTTTCCTAGCTGCATCCAAAATGACAAGCCCAAGTTTACTGCCAGTTCTAAAAGCAAAAAAACCCAAATCTACCACCCATTTCAAAACCAAAATACTCATTCAGGAACAGCAGCAGAGATTAATCACACTAGGATCTAGATGAGAAAGAGACCAATTATATTTCCGAATATAAACCAGAAAGGAGATGAGGACATAAGGCTAGTCTGCAGATTCTGGCAGCCTGAGGTACGCTGCTGGACCGCTAGCAGGTGGAGTGCTGGTGCCGAATGCAAACCCCACAGGGCTCCAGTGCCTCACCGGGGCAGCGACCAGCTCCGTACCAGCAAAGGGACAGTCAGTCCCCCAAGGAAACTCTACAGCTAACTGGGATTTCTCAAGATGTTAATTTAATTTAGCTTACTTTGAAAAGGGGTTGGAATTTTTTCAGGCTAGCCTTCATATGCTCCGACCTAAATAAAGCCCTTGCCTTCCACAGTGCAGCAAACACCCCCTCTTTATTAAATCTTTGTTACATATCAATCCAATGTACCATGTTTCTCTCTGGATGTTTCCAGATCCCTGCAGCGTACATGTTTTGTAATGAATCTACAATTAAGACCCACTCTTTACAGGAAGCATTGCATACTGCACCAGCACTACATACTGCCGATGACAAGCATGTGCCTTTTGTTAAATGTCACTTCAATGTGACAAAATCAAAATGTGCAAGCACTACAGATATGCCCAGGACATCCTGTCTTTACAGCAATAGAAGACTCAAGATAACCTGCTAAATATGAATCAAGTGTACACCAGCTTTAACAAAGATAAAGCCTATTTTGTATTCTTGTACTGATAATGTATCAGGGAGAAAGAATCTCCATTTTTCAATCCTGTTCTCCAAAACTTTGATAATGTTACTGAACCAATGCTCTCTACAAATCAAAGGCCTGGCTTTTTCCACCATCAACCACTTACCTGGCAACACATTCTTTAGATTCACTGTCATTTTTCAGCTTGTGATAAACCACCGCACCCACTGCCAGTGGCCCGGCATCACCACAGAGGAAAGTAACTCTTCTGCCATTCAGATTGCGAAGGATTCTCTTCACGTAATCGAGAGATCGCTGCAAATGGCTCTGGTTTTTTGTGACGCGGTACAGTTGCAGATATAAGAGGGCAATACCTGGAACAACCACAGGAAAGAGAGAGTTTCATTTACATTTCATTGTAAGTATATCACAGTACCGTTTTTAGTGCTTCTGAACCAGTAACTTAAATGAGAACAGGTATTTGGGCAATTACAATGTGTCAGTCTAAGGTCTAGCTTATGCAATGGCAAGGCATCAGGCCATCTATTTTGATTACATTTCAATTTGGATTGTGACACCGGAAAAAAAAAAAAAAAAAAAAAAAAAAAAATCAGTCTGAAGCCCAACTGTAGACTCACAATTTGCAGAGAATGAAGAAAATTCATGACACAGGCACCAAAGCTTGGTGAAGAAATCATTGAAGATTCAAAAACTTGGGCTAATGAACATGTATATGACCAAGTACAGTAACTGTACAATACTCATCTATTACATGCAAGAAGTGACTTATTTCCCATTTGATTTGTAAAAGGATCTTTTCTTGAATTTTTGGATTCGACTTGCCAAGCTCTTTATAACCTTTAAATGTATTTCACAAGACTGTAAGCTTCTACAAGTGAAGCTGGTTTGTAAAAGCCAGAAAACAAACAAGTCCTAAGGAGAATGCCAGAAGGTAATATCAACCTTCACTCCATTTAACTCACTACATAGTTTTACATTAAAACAAAACCAAACCTTAAAAATTGCAACAACGTCCACCAAAGAAAGTGAAACAAATCCATGTAAGTGGATGTTTATTGGCCAGTTGCAAGCATACGTGTGCAGAAGCAAAGCATTTACCTCCAGACCGTACCGCATCTCAAACTCGTTTCTGAACAGGGAGAGCACTTTCCTGAGCCACAGCTAAAGCCAGGTACACCCAAGGCCCACTTAGCTCCGCAGAGACGCTCCCTGAGGAGCACAAGAACCACCCCACAAGAGTGCTGGTGCATCTTCAGATGTTCTCCAGACTGGCTTTGAACAGGTCTTTCTGGAGGAGCCCGAGAGGAGAGCCGCAGAGCTTGGTTAGCCTAATTAACTGTCACAGGAACTTGTGGGCTATTTACTGGGATCTCTGTAACCCTTTTTTATATTGCAGCAAATGTGTAGAGATCTGGGCTTGATCAAAGGATGATCAGCAAAGCAGCTGTGAGGCCCAGTTCATCCAGTCCTTCCTTGTACAACATCCTTAAAATGGCTCCTTCAAGATGTCTGGTACTTACAAAGAGTACTTGCATAAGCAAGATGGACTCTAACATGAGTCCTATGACTGTTACGTGCCAACAGTACATGCTCCAAGATTTTGAAGATGTTTCACAAAGTACAAGCCAGTGCTCAGGACTGTACTGCCAATGAGATTTGTCTAGACTCAATACATAACAAGCAGGGCAGTTGTTTTCGGCACTATTTTTTACCTTCTGATTTGCACACTAGCAAAACTCTGCAAGCAACAAGTATTTACACTATTTTAAAAACCAGATCATTTAAATATTTTTACTCAAGGTCATTTCCTCATTCCATTTATTCAAGTCCCTGAAAGAAGTTTACACCTTGGAATAGACATAGTTGGCAATCGTTCCACAGAATGGAAAAACCCTGCTCTGATTAGACTGAGTTACTTGCTCATATACCTTCTTGTTTCAGCTAATGATGGCTGTGTTACTTTTAGCTTATGACTCATTTTCAGCAAGCTCTGGTCTATCAGCCGTAACTCCGGCTGTCAGTCAGTGTCAGAAGGCAGCTCCCCAGGGAAGGAGCCATTTTGTGATGGCCCTTCAAGAAAGCCCTCCACCGGCAATCACCTGCACTCCCTCAGCAGCCACTCACTTTCAGACCCCGAAACACACCTACCCTTCCAGTCTGAGTTGTCTAAAACTTCCCCACCCAGCCACCCACAGCACCATCTGCACTGAAACATCAAGAAGAAAGCAAAGAGATTTTACCCTTTCATTGCCATAATTAAGCCCGAGCACGGACAGAGCCTGGTGAGTTTTTTCAAGGTGCTCTCCCTCACAACACAAAGATAAAAGAATAGATCTCCTCGGGGCACATTTCAAACATGCTGTGCTAAAAGCATAAGTATGCCTGGAGCGTGAGACAGAGCAGGAATAGAATCTCATTGTAATGGCAAAGTGGCACTTAGGAAGTCCAGACAGAAAAGTGTTTTGGCAGCTTGAAGAGCCATGGCCTCATCGGGCTTGACAACTGCAAGCTCTGCCTCAACAGTGAGGTCTCAGCACATCTGGACAGCATCAGTGATGCGATGCCCAATGAACGATGGTGCCCGGCAAGAACCAGCGCTCGTACATGCCTGTTGCTCTTCATGAAGTTCACAACCTTGCAACCCTACCTCCATACTCCCTCTCATGGGGATTTCACCATTTTTGTGCAGTCAGAACAAGCACAGTCAAACTGTCCACGTTTCAGATTTTAAGGCTCCAAGCTCCTGGGACCAGAACACCTTCCCCCCGCCTACTTCCCCCAAATGAAAATGTTGTTACCAATAGACAACTGCTAACCAATAATCAGTTGAACAGAGAAAGGTGAAAATAACTCATTTTAAGAAATACTTAAAGAAATCCTAGGTAAGCCAAAAGAAAGAGCAGCCTTAGAAAATCCATTCCTTTTGCAAGGATCTGCACATACAAAAGCCAATTATCTCTTTGTCTGCTGAAGTCAATGGAACTCATTCCAGACAGTAGTGACCAAGGGTCCAGAGTTAAAAGATACCAACTCACACAAATATCAGAGTATTTCTGCTCCTCCTGAGAATACCAAAACCTCCTCCTGTGAGCAAACCCAATGACATCATTAGACAAACACCCTTCATTCAAATTCAAGCTTTCTCACCAGTCCACCCAGTATAGGCAGAGCAGTCATGTGGATCTGCTGTCTTCAGCCCTTCCTCCATTTGCTGCAGAAGGTCCTTGATTTTTGCCTGGATCCGTTTTGAGAACTGAGCACTGACCTGAAAACAGGAGACATAAGAAAGCGGAGCGAGTCAGAAAGGGAAAAAAAAATACAAGAATGCAAACTGTCTGCTCCACTTTCCTGTTTGGGGGAAAAAACAAAACAAAACCAAACACAACACAATAACAAAAACACCCCGCAAAAAATAACTAGGGAATAAATACTACATGCAGCAATCAACGGTGTCACTGTGGTTAATCTTAAGTGTGTCCCGGGTAATGCATTCTGATTACATATTAGAGTAAGTTACTAGTATCTACATTAGACAAAAATTAGCTGGGGATGCTTTAAAGTCATATGAGGAGCCGCTGCGGTCACTGTGACGGTATATAATTATATGCTGCCTCTTCTCTCAGCCTCTTAATATGCAGTAAGCAAAGCTTCTCTGAGCTGAGTAGAAGGTGGATAGAAGCAAAGAGAAGACAACCATCCGCGGGCACTCCACGGGCCAGTGCTCCATCCCGGGTCCTGGCACCACGGCCACATCATGGACATACACTGTTAGGGACAAACCCCACCGCCCAAACACTGAACCTACAAGCCCCACGTCGTAGGTGCTCACTCTCATCACAGGATCCCTGCGCATCCTTTGTGGCACTATGGAGCAGGAAATAGCTAAAGGAAAAGAAATGCTCACATTTGAGACAGTCAAGTCAAAGACAAGCCATCAGCTTTAATGATGTGCTCAATCGCATCATCCATGTTGTATTCACGTCTTCTTCTTAAATCCGAGACTTTTTTTGATGTCCCAGTTTGCGATCACCACATGGAAGGGAAGTTGCCTAAATGCCCTTCCTCCTGCTTCTTGCTCTCCAGTCTCCCCAAAACAGAATTAGGATTGACATGCTCTATCATGAGACGAGGTTGTTAAATGCAGTGATGTATTAAAAGAACTATCTGAAAGAAAAAGCTTCGCACAAAGAGGACAAGTAAAAGTAGCTCAGCAGCTTCAGCTCATGCATGAAGGTGAAGAAACAAATCTTTAATTTTATACATCGCTTGCTTTTACTTTTGACCAAGGAAAGTGTACATAGATGCTATATTTGAAATATAACAGAGGATACCTCACTCGTGACAACATTTCTCTCTCATTAAGCATACTATATGGGAAAGTACATTATTGATGAGTCCCTTAAACCTACGGAATGTGGAAATAGTCAATTAACTAGAATTTATTGCTGTATTAGCTTCCATGGGAAAGAGTATTCATGAAGTCCCTTCACAGGATGATTCTACATTTGAGTGGGAGCACCAGGAAAAACAAAGCAATTGTTTGTTGTTTTTTTTTACATTAAACAGTATCTTTTATTAATCAGCTTCTCCTATTAACACATTTATTAAAAACTATTTTATATATTTAAATATCACTTGCAGGCTAGGCTTACTTATAGCACAATTTATCTACTACAGACCTAGAGAAGAAACATAAAAACTCTTCCCCTCCTGGGCTATACAAAAAAGCTGTATAATTATGAGATAATTGCATCATTCTGACAAAATAGTGATGTACACAAACTTTGTGCCATCCAAAAATATTTCCTGTATGTGTTTTCCATCATCTACTGAACGTCCCAGGCATACGTCCCTTGCCACCCCTATCTTAGTTATCTGGCAACAGCCAGGAGAGGAACTCTCTAGGAACATGGAAACCAGCAGAGCTTCCCCACCTCCCAAACCAAGAGCCACAATGCAGTGGTCATCCAAAAAATGGCATTATGCAATTTGGCTACTTGTCAGCTTACACTGAGAATAAGTTACTGTTTTCTGACAGTGGTTGATCTCCTTCCACATCTTGCTTCGCCAGCCTGCTCCCAGATGGCAACTGGAACAAATCAGATCAGTGAAGGCTTATTTGGATGTTAAACACATCTACATTTCTGTGTTGTTTTTGTTGCTTTGTTCTGTTTTGGTTTTTTTTTTTTTTTTTTACTGGAGAAGGAGAAATTAGCTCATTAGGAAGTTAAGTTCTTGTCTGATTATAACACATCCCAAATGGGAAGGGTTCAGATAAACGACGGGTCCTGGATGCCACCATGCAACTGATTACTCAGAATACACCACACTTTGTACTCTTGTTCAGAACTTCAAATAAAAACCAGTGAACTCAAACATCCATTCAACAGATTCAGAAATCAGAAATTACACGAGTCCTCTGACACACCAGAAGTCTCCGGGGTCAATGGTTCAAATCCATTTTATGATGGTAAGATAGGAAGGGAGAAGGACATTGTGCCATTCTATCTCACACTGCATACATACCACTCCAGGAAGGAGCTACAGCCCCCTCCACCCTCTCCTGTAACTCTCGAAATAGCAACCAAACACAGTGAGCATCTCCTGTCTGTTACTCTTTGGCCTTCCTATGGCATTAAGCATCATTTTGTTAGGAAACTGTGCCATTCACACACAACATCCCCCCCATCCCCACCACCATTTTGACTAGTTCAGTGAAGTCTTAACACAAAGCAAAACCTTTCCCAAGGGCAGGGTTTCCCCTTCAAAAGACAGCTACGCCAGTGCTTGGCATATGGTAGAAACAGCGTGAGGATATCCACACGGGTGCATCCAGGCAAAGCGCTCAGCTTCTCTGACAAGAGTGAACTAAGGTTTCAGACTCCCAGTTTATTTACCTGCTGCATGTCACAAGCAGGATGGCTATCTTTTTGTTCTGACAATACACCTGCTGTCACCAAATCAGGATATTTTTTATCCAACACCAGATCAAATTACTTAAGAGGCAGGAAGGGAATACTAGGACATCAGGACACCTATGCTCTGCTTTGAAACCTTCGTTCCATACAAATAATTTAGCTCAGGTTGGCATTGTCCTCTCTCTAAAATGGGAATTGTAAGTTACCTATCTTGATCCAGTGCTTGGAAGAGCACAGGTGAAAGGATTTTTTAGATTATTGTTATAATTATTTATCAGCCCAAACAAAGCTACTCCCAAGTTTATGCCAGTGTGAATAGGTTGTGAGTGGCAACAAAGTTTTCCCCAGTTACCTACTCCTCCACCACTGCCTTATTTTTATATTTTTTTTTGGTTGCTCTGAACCTTTAACAACCGAGCACTGCCACTGTTCATTTGATAAGATCCTACTATATGCTTATAACAGACACTTACATGTACTAGAATAAAATAATTACATAAAGAAATGAACGTTGAAAGGTGGCTTTAGAAGACTTATAAACCTCCTTCAAGGAATCTTATGGCAACATTACAGCTGAGCATAAAGCGCGCTAATTCGTGTTGAGCACAGATTGATTTTCATGAGAAGCATTTTCATTTCATGAGGATGATTCCAGCTGGCATTCAGCCTTTTCTGCAGGTGACTCTTGTTACTCCTGTAGGGACAAACAAAACCAGGAAGCCTGACCTCTGATATCCAGTGTAGCATTTACTCCTGGTTCACAACAGTCTGGATGATAAAAGGAGCTGAAGAGCACCTAGAACTAGATACTCTAGTTATTTCTATTTATAACAAGAAAAGGGCTCTCTCCAGGAATTTAACTGCTGCCTTACTGCTCTGCTGCAGCAGCAAGAACAACCACTATCATCCCAACCACTGCTCAGGTTTTAAATCAGCAAAACACAAAAAATGAGAGCTCGTTCACTATTATACCCAACAGAACTCCGCACCATACTGATTATGGTAACAAGAAAGGCTCGTTATCAGGATAAAACAAAAGTGCAAAAAAATACAAATGTGTTGGTTTTGCAAATTAACTGTTTTGTGATTTACCTGAACCGTATCACTTCCATTGCACTGAGGCAGTATGCAAAGATACATCCCAATCCAAAGCCTTTTAAAGCCAACAAAAATGTAAGGAATGTAAGTGCACATGTAACATCACTCACCTTTGGCACTAATGACATGGTGTCCGAATTATGCTGGCCTTGTCAGCAATACCCATTTCCCCTATCTGCTTTTTTTCATTTGTAGGGTCCCTAAAAAGAACTTGAATACTTCTTTTGTAAACCCAGCACTAGAACTACAGACACACACGTTATAAAAAATACACCATGATGCAAATAAAAATCCCCCAAAAGAAATGCGCATCTCAGTTGCAGTTGGTATTACAATAACATACCAATTCTTACCAACCTACCTCTCCGTTACAGCCATATCCAGCTTTACAGCCGTGGCTTTAAAACAAACCAGCACCAAGAGCAGATGAGGCAAGGAGCAGCTGCAATGCATGTGTTTTACATCATGATTTCTGGTAGGTCAGACAAGCCTGTAGCTTGAAGTCTTGCATGCACATTTGGACCAGATATAGCATTGCTTACTTAAGTCTGACAATGCAGCCATGAGACCTCATGGCACTCCTTTTGTGGTTACAAGTAACACTCTGGTTTGACAGGCACAAGGTAAGTAATTGTATTTGCCTTTGTTAAAGACATTTAGATACCGATGTGTTTTTTAAAAACACCTCTCAGCATTGATTTGCATCATGACACATCTATGCCAAGTAACTCGGCAGGACAATGGAGACCTGAGCTCAGCTTCTTCAAAAGTTGCCAACATACCCGTCTTTCTTGCCACCACCAGCTCCCAAAACAACTGTCTTGCTATTAACCCCATTTTGCTATTATCCCTATTTTACTTCATCAGCTCTTGAGGGACTGACTCTACGTGCAGAACTGGACTGAAGAAGGAAGAGACTGATCCTGCAGAAGCAGCAAGAAGATGGCCTACACACACAGTGCTATCTACTGAACAAGCAAAATACACTTTTGCTTCCATCTCATCTCAGTTCGAATCAGATTAAGAAGAGATATTTTAGAGAAAAGTGACTGTTGTTTGTGATGTGTAAAACAGGAGACATAACATGGTACTGGGTTTTCTTTCAGCCAAAGGGCATCTCACAGAGAAGAAAATTGGCAAGTTGGCACTGCAGCAAGGACTCATGCAAAAATCAAACCTACATAAAAAACTGCACGAGGGACACGGCAGACACTGGTAAGGGAGGATGCAGTGGGGGCTGACTCACAGC